GGCTTGCACACCATGCCAAGAAAAACGTGCATGGTTGGTGTCAGAGATACTATAGTTGGGGGTCTTCTATCCCACTTTGCCAATAAAAACGGTCATGAATCTTCATGTACTTATTTTGAAATTTGTCATATTTCTCCGCTGCATCAAAGAAACGCCCATGGATACTTAAATTTGAATTTACCCGCCATGCTAGGAAAATAGACATATGATTTATCCGGTGTGTCGTAAACATCCCTTATTAGTTACCTAACTACAATAAGAAAAACACAAAATGTTTTATTTGTTGTGCAAAACTTGTCAAGTGTTAGGGATTTTAGGGATTTTTTAAGAGTGCTGGTTTATACCTTCGCACATTAGGTGATGACAATAATGATGTGGAGAGGTGAGCACATTCTTGTGCCACTCTTCTTCTTCCAGCTCCCAAATGTCATCAAGTACACAAGTAAAATATTTTTGGACATCACCTTGAACTTAAGTTCCTTTGAAATGCATCAAATGACTCTAAATCACGTCTATTCATTTTAAGAGATTCATCATTTCTGCAATGATTTTGTTCACATCAAAGCAGTTGGAAACACAAGCCCACATTCTTATATCAAATTCCTTTGTCTTTTCATTTTCATAGAGAAGCTGCAAGAGGGTTGCTCCCCTTTGCATTGTGAGAGTCTTCAACATATATGTAATGACTCTTTTCACGTCAAAGTTGTTGGAAAACACAAGCCCACATTTAATATCAAATTCCTTTTTCAGTTCATCTTCTTAGACATGCTGCAAGTGGGCTAGGTGGCGTGATGATTATTAGAATGCTCGGGTGGTAATAAGTGGAGAGGGAAGTAATTGAGTGTGGTTTGAGGTAGCTGTAAGAATGAATAGGGGAAGTATGGGAGACGACATGGGAGAATATGCCAGCAATTACTATTACTTCTGATCTTCTTTTTATAGGGATCATTCTTTTTGAAAGGGAAAACTGTGCAGCATATCATGATATAAATTGTATCAGAATTGGTTTGAAAATTGTTTGATTTGTTTTGAGATTAGTGTAATAAAATTATTTATATACTTTATTAATCTCAAAGCAAATCCTATAATGTGCAAGTCTATCCTAATACAATTTATATCAGGAAATTTTGACATATATATATATATTTTTCATTTTTATCGTGCTTTGGCTTTGAGGTCTGTATTTTGGGTTTTCTCTTTTTTGTTTTAACCTTTCTACTTTCAGGCTTCTATAAGTTCCAAGGTTTTCTTTGTTCACGCTACCATTCTCAGTTGTTTTATGCCTTGTTTTTAGTAGCAACAATATCGACAATCCTAGTGAATTGCATTTAAATTGTTAACATTCAGTATAAATCTGGCTTACATATCAAACAATCAACTGTGTAGAAAGGAAAAAAAATCTCACTCGTGATTGCATAAGCCATAGTAACCACATTTTATGTTGGGTATTGGCATTTTATTGATTTTTTGCACTTTATGGCCTGACTATCTGGTTTGTATCTCTGTTAGACTAGTATTCTATTAAAATTTGTGATAAGACATATGAAGGAAAAAATTTTATTCAATTAACTCAAATAGTAGGAGAGCAATATATTTATAGGTACTAAATAATATCAATTAGTAATCCATAAAATAAGAAATAATTAATATAAATTTAACGTAGAATTATTGGGATATAAATGAGGAATATGAGAATTGAGGAATGTTTAGGTGGAGAATCATTTAGCGGTTGATTTAATCCGCACACAGAGATTGCTTGATGAGAATTTGATGTGGGCCATGATTTTGCTTTTATAGACTTTCAACGCTAGCCCTAGAGTTGGAAATATGTGTTGTTGATCATTCTTAACTTGGAAGTTAGGTTTTAGAATTGTGATTGATTAAAGGCTTTGGTCAGGATATATGCCATTTGAAGTCTTATCAGATTGTACTGCATTTGAATGATCCCTTGATCAATTTTCTTATAAAATGTTTATCAATTTTACATGCATCATGATGGACTAGATCTTTGACAATGCTACTTGTAGCTTGGTTGTCTCATATCATAATCATTGGATCCTTAATGTGGATATTTGGGCCTTTTAACAAACCTTCTCAGCCACATTCCTTTATAAATTCAATGAGCCATGGCCCTAAATTTGCTTCAGTGCTGCTTCCAATAGCCACCACTTGTTTTTAACTTCTCGAGGTGGCAAGATTTTTTCCATAGGAATGAACAATAACTAGAGGTTGATTTTCGATCAGTTTTAGACCTATCCATCAACTTCAGTAAAAAAATTTATAATCTCATACATTTCTTTAGTAAAAAATAGACCTTTCCAAGGAGTTCTTTTTTAGGTACCTTAATATTCTATAGAGTTCATCAAGGTAATCCTCAGCATTGCTAATCATTCTCCCTGTGCCGCATCTTAGAATTTATAGTGAGTAGAAAAAATTAATATTACAATTTATGATGTGGAACGTACATGCGATGATGGGTTTCATAATGAAAGCTTGCACGCTTAATTTTAGATAGAACACATAATTATATCTTTATAATAATTTGAACGACGAGATAAAACATTAAGAACGGAAAAACGAGCTTACGGTTGAATCACACGGGTAAGAGTTAAGATCATATAACAATCAAGTCAATCTAACGTTGCGTACATGAATGGTTTTCCACAAATATCCCTAGACTAACAATAAGATTAGTTGCAATACCTCTTGGAATTTGAATTTCAAATTCATAACCAAGGGGAGAGAGGGAGAAGAGTTTTCCAAATTTAGGTGGATGATGTGGACAAGGATTTGAAAACTCCAAATTAAAGTAAATTGAAATTTGATTCAATCATGCAAACTTTCCTAATTTGGAATTCCAAATTTGGAAAGAATTCAAAATTTGAATTCTAAATTTCAAATTCAACATTGGATGAGGGAGGGGAGTGGGCCGGATGGGGGGAAAGGAGCGTCGGGGAGGTGGTTGGCCGGGATGGTGGTGGTGGCCGGCGGCAAGATCCAAGGAAGGGCCGGCGGTGGGGTTAGGGGAAGGAGATTTTTGTGGAGCTTCTAATGAGAGGGAGATGATGAACAAGCAAAATAAAATAAAACTAGAGAACTCACTAAGAGATCTCAGAGGAAGAACTCACTAAGAGATCTTTTCATGCACTCACAAAGAGAACAAAGAGAGCAAATTTTCATTCATTCAAAACTAACTCTTACATGAGAAATGGGCCATATAAATAGGCCTCAAAATGACAAAGAAAGTAAAGTACTAAAATGCCCCTTGGGCTACAATAGCTATCAAATACCCATAAGGGTAAAAACGGAAAAACATAAAATAAACATAAACTACTACATAAAATGATGAAAATACAAAACATGATCGTGGCCGTCGATCTCCGGCATCTCCTGAAGGTACATGTGTCGAAATCGCTGCTGATGTCCCCATCATTCTCCCCAGGTGGGAGAATGATATATTATGTGAAATAGATATATATCTTTGATCATACGATCTGATGCTTCTGAGTCTACAATTCATAATTGAGTCTTATCAATATTTGAATTAAAGGCATTTATAACTATACATTTTTAGCGATTAATATAAGAGAAATGGCTGCACCTAGGAGATTATTATAATTTTCCTTTCCACCTATGAACTTCATGCATGATTGAGCCCCTTAGAGATAGTTTAGCTTATTAACTTTGTGCTGTATGAGTGGTTGATTTTATGAGAAGCTTTTGTTGGAGGCCATTCCATGTTTAACCTTTATTATGATTAAGAGAGAATAATTCATCATGTTGGCAAGACTTGACCGAAGGCAATGGGCAAGCTGAACTCAAGGTAAGTTCGGTGATTTTGATGATGTGAGCTATCATTGAGGTGAGTTCGGTGAGCTGAGACTTGTTCGGCTAGGAGGGCTTTCAATGAGCTGGGATGAACTCTTGCAAGCTCTTGACTCTTGCTATTGTGAATCATGTGAGCTTAGTGAGGTGCAGACGGGCGGTGAGATGGCTCAATTGAAGTAGAGTGCAAAGCAACAATGCTCAATCAATAATTAGAATCGTTTCACTTAGTGAGCTTTAGTATGATTTTGTGGAAGTGAGAGGTCAGGTGAAGCTTAGACTTGCAAGCCTTGACTTGGAGTTGCATAAGGTAATGCATGAGATTGAGTTTGTGGTAAATGTGTTGTTGGATTGTGAGTAGATATCCTTGGTGTCGCTGAGGTAGATCAGGAACTGGATTGCTAAGGTGGATCCCAAACTCGTATTATATGTGTTGAAAAGTTCCAGTAGAGGCAGATAGATGTAGATCAATCACATAGGGTGCATGATAAGATCACTCAGATCTCTTTAGCTACGTCACGAACATCTTTGGTTATGGAGGAAATAAAGGGAGATCGCACGAGCTCTGAGCGGTGAAAGAGCGAGGAGCTTGTGGCGTGAAGGAAATATCCTGCAATGAGTAGGAACGAGTTGCTGGCGATGAACCTTTGACTAGGTATGAGGTTGGCGGACAACGGTCTTGATTTGAGCGAGAAAGACTTGGAGAGTTGTCTGTGATATCATATTAAAAATGGAGATAAGACATGAGAAAAGAATTTTATTTAATTAATTCAAATTAAAGGAGAGGTACATGTTTATAGGTGCTAAATGATATCAATTAATGCATAATTGATGAATTACTGAGATAAATAAGAAAGATGATAATTGATAGATTAGTAAGGTGGACAATCATCCTGCAGACTTGCTATTGATTTAATCAGAGCACATATATGTGTGCTATGGTGGTGCTTTTATGAGTTCCATAGTTTCACTTCCATATTTTTATATTTCACCATTTTATTTTCTAAGCCTTTAGCTTCTCCGATCTCATGATTTCATTAACCTGAACCCCGTGTTAAATTTGTGCTTCACCTTCTTGTTTATGTGTGTACCCTGCGCTATTTCCTTATTATTTTCCTTTTTTAAACCCTTAGCTTTCTCAATTGCTTGATTTCCTTAACATGATGAACCCACAGTATGCTTCATTGATTACAATGATGATTTTATTAGAAGCAGCTCTAGTTGGCGATCTCTTTTTCAACAAAGAGTGGAAGAAGGTATGCCTATGTCGAAATTCTTCATTTTTAACCAAATAGCAAGTTCTGTTCCCAAGCATGCTTTTATCATGTCATTTATAAGTATCATGATATACAGGATCTTCCGAAAGACTCCACTGGAGAACTAAAAAATCTCATAGCCTTTATTGAAGATAATATAGATATATGCAAGTGGGCTGGAGTTTCTATTGTTGTTATTCAGGTATACTATTTGTCTTGAATAAGAGGTTATTTTATGTTGAGATAGTTCATCATCAGTATTTTCTCATTTATACCTTATCATTGCTATCAGTTATGACCGAATGAGTCATAGAATTCATCATGGGTTACAGGAAACCATTCAATTCCGCAAATTCAAGGCTACTAATGTTAGGTTTTATTATATGAAGGTCAATTGTCTTTCCCCCCAGAAGGTGATACATAAAAAATTCAAATATTATGTTATCCTCACTACAAGGTTTTATGTTCTGCGACTCCTGTATAATCTTTGTTATAATTGGGAAGTACTTATAGATGATTTTCGATTTATGCAACAGACCATAAATCTAGGGGTGACTACATTAAAGAGTAATAGCGGCATTTGTTGGGAGCCTTTTGAATTATAAATTTTAATAGAAAGAAAAATCGTATATTTTTACTTACTGTTTTTTATCCCTATGCAGGCATTGTCCCTTTTGCTGGCAGTGCTAATCCGGGCTATGATACCAAGCAGAAGTATGGACTATGACAGTGATGAGGACTATTTTGTTATCAGGAGGCCCCTTCTAAACCAACAGGGTGGCCATGGTACTACTTCTGGATTTCACTCGGATATTTGGAGTTCACGAATGAAACAAAAGGTATTTTGCTTTGACTTGTAATTTCGTGCTATTTCCCTATAATTTTAGAGCTTAATGGTCATTTGCCTGGATTGCAATAATTCGATATGAGAATGTGGAATAATGACTTGCTTCGTTCATTTTGTTCTTGAGTACTTTAATATAGGTGTGCAAGACTGTAAAAGGGAGGTTTCCCATTTTCAAATGTACGTGGCAAACTCCATAATTAAACTAAAATAAATGTACAGAGAAGAATATGACAACAATAATGGCGGACACACAATAATTATAATAATTGCACGTAATGCTGCATGGATGTATTTCTTCTAATATAGCCCTCAATATGGCAATACTCCATTGGAGATGCCTATCTTGATCTTCAGTGCATGAAATCTGGTGCTTACTACAAGTTTAGTGTCATGACCCTGACCAGATGCTTGAATTAAGGAGGCTTGAATAAATGGTCAAACGATTATTTAAAATTTTATTTACTAACTATTTCCAATACGCTGAAAGAGCCACTAAATTTTCAAATGCATTTTAATGAAAATAACATTATAACTATTTCGGCAAATACATTTCTCAATGAGCATCATGCCTATGATATACGTTCTCTTTACTTTCACTTATTTAATTTTTTTGGATAATACCTGTGAACTCTTGAAAACATGGTGTGGGTCATAAATATAATTCAATGGGTACGTCATGCTTCTAAATTATAGTAATATAAGATATTTTGATCAGCATTCATGCTTGTTGTAAAGTAACTCTATTTTATAAAATTAAAATTTGGAAATGACCATCAATTATATCTTATGCGCATATGTAATACTCATTCTTCCATAAAAAGTTTTTCTATAACTAATATAATAGCCACAGGAGATACCGTTTAAATAGTATCAATGAAGGTACTTTCATTTACATTTTCTCCATAACCTGCCAACCACGCATATGTTATTGTTGTTCCTTTTTCATAACATTTTCTAAAAAAAAATCATTTCAGTGCACAGATATATTATATCTCCAGCCAATACCTTAATGAAGTTTACACCATCAATCAACTATATCTCCAGCCAATACCATAATGAAGTTTACACCATCAATCAACATGCACATACACACATTCATATCTAGTTATTTCAATCATATATCATTCATTAACTTTATATTTTAATGTAAAACACAACATGATAATAATTGTATATTTGAAGGTAATGAATTATTGAATATAAGAAACATAAATCATGATTTACATGTAACTAAACAAGCATGTGTCAAAATCATGTTTATATATTGGAGCAACATAAAGTTCGATGTTTGAGAATTGGGGGGAAAATAATTTAAGAAAATCCAATTTGATCAGCAAGAATCATAATGCAATATTTGAAAACCTTTAGAATTAAATTTAGAATCATCTAAAGATTGACTTAAACAAATATATAGTCAAATTGAGCATCTTGATGAAACAAAACCAACAATGCTAAAGATGATCCAATTCAAATCCATAGAAGCCCATACGAAGCACTTGAAGGATAGTTAGAAACTTTGGAACATTAATTGAATGATCAAATGGCCTTCGAATTTGCATGCTTATAGTAAAAAATGAGTAGCTTGATAAGATAAATCTAACTAGCATAAGATTATTTGATTTTGAAGTTATTAAAACACTTAAATTTTAAATATATAGTTTATGATCAAAGGATTTAATATGAGCCCATTGTGAACTTAAATTTAAATACCTCAGTAGATTTTATGGTTGTATATTTGTTCGTTGATCCAACTCATGTCGACTCTAGTCCTTTTAAGTAGGAGTGTCGGATTTGGAATTTAGATTGATTTTTAACCCCAAACTGCATTCTAGGACATGGGTGTTTGCAAACAGCACGTTTATTGAATCACATGTGGGGAATTAGAGTTTATTTTCAAATGATGTGTATGCTTTTCAGTATGCTTGCGCACTACACTTGCTCGTATTTGTATGCATTTGCATTACGTGCACACGCTTTTGATGTAGTATGTACCATTGGGTTGTTGAGTATTTCTCGAGGTAGTGTTTTGCTTCTCGAGGAGGTAGCACTCTTCTCAGCCATGTCGCACTCTGCTCGAGGTTACTACCCGTTTCTCGTGGCAATGACACTCTTTTTGAGACAATAACATATTCCATGGGGCTATCATATGCTCCTTGAGGCTACTTAATGCTTCTCGAGGCTATGACACACTTTTTGAGGCAACATGCTTAAGTTTGGAAACTTGCATTTTGATGAGTGATGAGGCTTTTATATATTCAAATTTAATTATTTTTGCGTGGATATTTGTTGTTGAAAGGTGCAGAAAATTTTATTTTAGGGTCTTGAGTATGCCTTTTGTCCTCTTGTATGTGTGTTGTGGATTCGATGACATTCATTTCCATTTTATATTTTAAAGGGGAATTGTCTTCTTCGTTATGTTCGCTTGTACATTAGTGTTCGAACATGAGCAAGAGGATGTGTTGGGGTCGGTTGCTCGTGGAAGAGAAGGGGAGGTGAGGGAGCAACGAGTGGGTTTGAGAATTGAGATGAAAATGAGAGTGCAGGAGTGAGAGTTGCGTGAGAGGGAAGACATGAGGTAGAGGAGCTGGAGTTGGTTACATATAGGGACGGGAGGAAGGCCAGGGAGATGTTGTGCATGGATGTGAGGAGAATGGCGGTTGGTTAGGTATGAAGCTACTTTCAACCTGGAGGAAAAGTTGGGTTGGGTGAGAGGAAAACAAATGAAAGAGTTGTGGAAGAGATCTTAGGGATGTTTGTGTGAGTTTAGTTTAGATATTGTTATTATTTATTCTTTTTTTTATATCTTCTACCTAATAGCTATTTATGAGACCACTCGATGGGCGACTGTGCAGGTATGGTGGCAGAGGATTTGTTGGCTGATTGGATTGAAATAGATTAGGATAATACATATATATAATTATTTATTATTGTTTTATTAAAAACAATTTATGAAAATACACATTTGACAACTCTAGCAATTTTTGTTCCCCGTTTACTTTGATTTTTGTGTCATTAAGTTGATTGAAGGCATTTTTCGAAATTGGACCTGTGTTGGAACTGGGTAATATGGTTCTCCATTTCAGGTACTTTCGACATTCTCGACACAATGGCAATTTTGTTTTATGAATGGATAATGTTTGGGTAACATCATGCATTGTCATGTCCATAGACCGTCATCTTCGACCGTCTTTGCTCGACTCGTGTGAAAATTCCTCCCATAGGTAAACTTAATGTCCCGAATACGTTAGCACATTCCATTTTGCAATCGAAGGTCATTTGAGTAATTTTGTGTAGCGGCACTCTCGCCAATAGTCGCACTCATCATTTTTTTATCAAGTTGCGCACAAATGACTCTTCTTTGGCAAATCTGATGTCCTGAGTGCATCAGTGTGATCCATTTCATAAGCAAATGCCATTTGAGTGATTTAGACACTGATCAAGACGCTTTGATTGTTTTTCTGAGCAACTTCTTGTCTACCAACTATGATCCTTCTATTTGCTTGCCTGATTGAAATGTTTATGGAGGTCAACTATTTTAAAATCTCATATTCTCCAATTAAGGAAGGGGGGGGACTCTTGTAACTTATTTATTGAGTAGAATATTTCACCTAGCACATGCCTCAGAATTTTTTCTCTTTATTATTTTTTTATGCAAAAAATTTGGTGCATACTGAATTCTTTTTTATGTGTATTAGATCTTTGTGAAAGCTAAGATATTAAAACTTATTACTCTTTATAGCCACAAATTTTCTTACACGTAACAAATATTAATTAGTACACAAGCTACTTTTTCAATTTTAAATTTACATATATTAAATCTTTTGTGCTAGTCATCACACATTTTTAGGAATTTCTTGTATCCCTGAATCAATATCCATCGATGAAGTACAAGTACCTCTGGTTTGTAACATTAATGTTGATACGTCATGAATGCTAGGGTCATAGGTGTTGTAGGATCACCAAGTCGTGTATTTTTTTTAAAAAAAGTTTGAATTGTAAATCAAATAGTATACCCATTTTGCTATGTATTTATTTTTTTCCGTGGGATCCAAAAATTCGCGTCCCAGCCTTTTCTCTTTTAGGAGAGTTTTAACATATTAAGTTCTCGGATAATTTTTTAGAAGACGGATTGGTTTGAAGCAATATGCTACCCAGATATTTTGCTCTCATTTTGTGAGGACTTTATGATTTGTGGTCAGGTTTCCTATAGGCGTAGGCCCCTATAGTTAATTACCCCTCCTAATAACGAGAGAGAACTTTTGATTAAGGCTAGTCTCAAATAGATTTGTAGTATCCGATATATAATAACAACATGATTTGTATTTGAAAATTTGATATTTAAAATTAGAAATTTCATTATCTTGCACCTAAAGCGGATGGTGGGGGAATGGATGATGGACCCAATCAAGATCCCATGGTTACATCATCCCGGACCATCGTGGTCCCAGGTCTACTTAATTAGAGGAGGCAGTTGACCCAACCTGACAGGAGAATTCTTTCGGCAGTCATAAGTTGCTTCGTCCAAGGGTACCTTGTAGACCTTGTGTGAGTATTTGTCTAAGGGGACAAATTTAAATCCATCTTAGCTTGCAAAGAGCTTTCTGCCCTATCGATTATATATCCTATTGATTCATATCTCATGAATTTGATGTCATTGGGGAACATACAGGCTATGACCGTAATCGTAATATAGTGAAGTCGTTGAACCAAGCCACTAGGTCAAAGGGTTGCGGTCGTAATCGTTAACTACGTGGATCTGATCTAGCCATGCCACAGGTTCTTTACGGAGCCATCCGGTCAAACTACCAATTAGATGTCTAATGCCACGTCCTTGTTGGCAGAAGACAATTTGAAAATGAATCTTAGTGATATTATCGACAAGACATTAGCTCTTTGTGAACTAAAGTAGTTTTCAAACTTATCCACCTCGACAAACTGTTGTGGAAGCTGAATGGATTTTGCTTTAAGCGTTTTAATGATTACTTTCAATTT